ACTAGTCTTCATCTCGGTAAGCGTTCATAGGTCAGGGCAATGCAGCTGTTCATGAAAATATAGCAGTAGACACACAATGTTAACACACAAACAACCTGGTACCATATATAGTAATAGAACAGACAGTAACAAAAGGGTCCTATCTCTGCAGAAATGTATTGCCAATACTTGGTATATGGCAAGTTAAAAACAAATAAATAAAAGGAATCTCCATATTAGCCTATCTTAGATATTAATAGTATGACATAAAGCTGCCAGAGAAACAAGGAGCCTCGGTGATGCCTAGCAGATAGAAGTCTGTCTCTCTCTCTGTCTCCCCACGCTCTTCAAAATGAAGTCAGAGCTGGTGAACAATATTAGCTAGGCAGCCCTGGAGACTGAGGTCCTTGGTATTTATTTATAGCACAGATAAGCACAGCACAGCTGAGAAGGGAGCTCATTCCCTGTGACACATGCTGTCCTTCGCCTCTCAACAGAATCTGATGCCAAAGGCAGAGGATGATCTCTGCTAAGGAATGGGCTAGGAACCATCACCAGCAACTCATTTTTGGAGTCAAGGTGAATGCCCTGCTTCCTTGCTACGCTGTACCTTGCACAGCCCCACAAAGCCAGACACCACTGAGTGCAAAAGCTAACAAGCCAGAGCTGAGCTGTAACCAGCAGAAACACATTATGACCACTCCCAACGTTGTAAAACAGTTGCATGGCAATGAGCAGCCCTGGCCTCCATCTCCAGCTTCCTGGAACTCAGCAAGCATGTCTACAATATCATGGCCAAATCCATCCCTCATGATGGTTCAGGAGAATTGGCTCTTGAAATTCCTATAATGCAACAAGTAGTCACATGGGCTTGTCTACAGGGAGCTTGTGCAAAACTCCTTTGACCACTGTTGGCTCCTATAAGCCAAGAGCGTACTCTTGTTGCCAAAAAGGCAACAGCATCCTGGGTTCTGTGGAAGAAACAAGCTTCACTTTGTGGTTTGGTTTTGAAGTTGTCAGATACTTTTTATTATACAAGCAGCTGCAGGGGAGGACACCGAACAGACAGAGCTTCCTCTTATCAGTTCCGCATGCCCCACACAACAGACAGTTAAAGCAAGCTTTTATATGTTTCAATTCAGGTCACATGACGCAAGATATTACAAACAGAAAGCTGGTTTGAACCAGAAAGCTGCAAGAGGGCATAAACTGTGGTCTGACCTATTGATCTTATAGGCCTACTCAGCTCAACAAGGGAAAAGGGTGGGAGAAAGAGCAGATTGCAAAATAGGCGAGAAAAGGCAAGCACTAGCTGCAAGAAGTCAGCAGAAATTAAGGCCTGGGGTTTTCTTCTTCCACAGTTTTATTAATAGAAGTGTCACTTGCAAATCAAGAAAAGTGATTTTTTTGCTCTATTCAACACTGGTGATGCCTCACCTGGAGTACTGTGTCCAGTTTTGGGCCCCACACTTCAAGAAGGGTGTGGACAGACTGGAAAGAGCCCAGTGTAGAGTAACAAAAATGATTATGGAGCTGGAAAACATGGCTTATGAGGAAAGGCTGAAAAAACCGTGAGTTATTTAGTCTGGAAAATACCTGAAGGGCAATTAGCGAGAAGGAAATGGGTTTTTCTCTGTGGCCATAGGGACCAGGATTTGAGAAATTGTCTCAGGCTGCAGCAGACAAAATTTAGGCTGAAGATTAGGAGGCATTTTCTGACTCTAGGGGGGCCAAGCATTGGAACAAGCTGCCTAGGAAAACTGGAGTCTCCATCACTGGAAATTTCAAGGGCAGGTTGGACAGACACATGGCTGGGATGGTTTAGTCAGGCACAGTCCCATCTTGAGCAAAGGGCTGGCCTAGATGACCTTGTGAGGTCCCTTCCAACCCTACTTTGCTATGATTCCTATAACTCATTGTCAGGTCATCACCGCATATGGGCGAACACCCCGGTGTCCTGCTGACATTCACCAGCCCCTCAGGCAGCTGTGCCCCTATGACTTAGCGGGAGGGAATTCGACGCCTCTTCTTTTCCCGCCTGCCACGACTTTGATGATATAATGGATTTTGAGTGAGAGGGAGGCGGTAACTGCCGGTCTCCTGCCCAACTCAATCAAAGGGGCTGCCCCACATCCTGAAGGTCCGACTCTGCCTGGTGACTTGCCCCAGCTTTCCCTTCTTTGGCTCCTTGCCCTTGCTCCAGTGGCAACTCTTCAGGTCCACCCCCGGATATAGTCCACGCTGCCGATTGGCCCCAATCCGCTTCACCTGCCGTGCAGGTAAAGCTGTGCTGGGGTTCCTACTGCAGGGTCGACGTGATGGCGTCTGGTGATCCGTGTTCCTGGCTGGGGATACACCCCTGGTGAGTGCCCTCCGGACTCTCACACTCATCATGATGAGACACTCAGCCCCACAAGTTTTTGATTTGGCTTTAGGATTTGAGGTCACCAAGCAGGTAATGTAATCTTTAAAATCATCCTCCCCAACACAAGCATTTATGGGACTGGAAGAGCTATAAATTGTTTGTACAAAGAGAATCGATTTTAATAAAGCCCTTAAGTATGCATTTTAGAGATCGTTCTTCTATACCATACATTGTATGAGCCAGCACAGACTGAGGCTAGGCCTTGAAGTAATTTGGCAGACTGCAAAGTCAAGATAATATGGAAAATAACAACGTTGGTTTCAGCTTAGTCTGGGGAGAGGCAGAAGGGAACTTCTATCATAAGCATTTTTAAAGCGTTTCCCCAATGCTTATTATAGCAATATTATAATTGCTATAATAAGCACCTCATGCACAAATTTTAAAAAAAGCATTTAACATAACGGAGGCAAAGAGTTTAGCAAATTTAGCAGAAAGTGGGAAAAACCTACTCCTTTAAGGAGGCTGCCAAAGGACTTGAGTGGGTGTAATTCATCCTACAGCACATAAATAAGTACACCATCTAGCAAGGGTAAAAATGACAAAAAACCCCAAAACAAAACCATTAATCCTCATCCTTCAGGGACATGTGCTGATCCTTTAGTGGAATCAGGAAGACATTTTCTCCCCACCACAGCAGATAACTGCAGAGTTAACTAGGTGCATGCCATGGCATGGGTTTCACAGAACCAGTGCAGAACCTGGTACTGACAAATGGATGAAGGGTAGGACACTGGATATGATGGAACAACTGTTTGTCTCCATCTTGCATATTTTATGTTTCTTTAAGAGAAAGCTAAAGAAAGACAGATTTGCCAGTGGTGTTTATTAGGGCTGTGCGAAGCTTCGGTCTCTGATTTGATTCAGCAGAGATTCAACCTGATTCGGTGGCCCAATCTCCGAATCGAATCAAGAGACCCTTTAATCTCTCCAAATCAAATCAATCCAGAGGGATTTGGAAAGATTTGATGATTTGGATATAGACACAGCTTTAAATGTTTTTTCTACATACCTCAAGGTATCAGGGGCTCATGAATGATGCAATGCTGGGGCAGATGAAGCATCCCACAGGAGTGTGGGGTGCTCCCCAGCGCACTCGGCAGCAGACCCAGAAGTGGACCAGAAGCAGTTGGCTTGGCGACTGGTGCTTCCTAGGTCTGGGGCGGGGGCACCCGGGGTACTCCGCAGCTGATTGCCAAGCTGGGAGAGTGCGGGGGGAGGCTCTCAGCGCACTCCCCAGTGGACCTGGAAGTGGACCAGTACTTTTGGTCCACTTCCAGGTTCGCCGCCGAGCATGCGGGTGGCCCCACCGCACTCCTGTGGGACGCTACATCTGCCCCACCATCCCAGCATTCACGAGCCACACCTGGTACCTCGAGGTATATAGAAAAAACATTTAAAGCTGTGTTTATGGCCAAATTGTTGATTCTCTGAATCAGCATCAAATCTTCAGATTCGGATTTGGCCGAGTCAAATTGGGGACAGTGATCCGAATCAATGAATTGAATCACTGTCTCTGATTTGGGCCAAATCCAAATCTGAATTGAATATGGCCCATTTTGCACGCCCCTAGTCTTTATTTTATTTTGACTCTGGAAAATTAGGAAACTAGGAGTGAATTTAAATCCCGCTCTTGTGATAAGCAAGTGCAGCTGTAAACTTGGAAAAGTTTGCACATTTTATCTTGTAATACCAAGCTCCTGAACTTAATCCTCTTGCTTGTTTTAAAGTCACCCCTTAGAGGGACATGTTTGCTGTCCCTGGGCCCTTAGCTGTTTGGTCAGTGCTGTTAAAACTTCTGTACAAAGCAACAGGGAAAGTCAGAGTGCTCTGTACAAGGGAGGGAGAAGGGAACATGTTTCCCCAATGCTAATTTAATTCATATTAAAAACATGTAATTAGGCTCCAATGTGAAATTTATTAACATAAATTCTTCTACTGAAGCTAGTTACAAAAGACAACATCTAAAACAACATGTTAAGTAGTTCATATTTATGCAGGAAATCCCCAAGCCAGGGCACTTCACAATAAAAAAAATGCAGATAACATTGTGGCACTGGTGTAGCTAGATTTTCACTAGTTGACAAAGAGCTGTAGTACAAAAGCTGCTATCTTCACAGAAAGTTCCCTTGAATTTTTAGAAGAACATTTACAAAGCTGCCTAAGGGATCTGAATGTTCAATTCCTATTAAAACTAATGAGCGCTGGGCATCCAAACCCCAAAGTATCTTTTTGAAAATCTCGGCATTAACGTTCAGGACATCGGTTCCCAGGACGAGACATAGAGATGTGTAAATAATGGATTTTTCAGGTCATGGGCATTTCTTGAAACAACTGCAAGAGCAGCAAATCTGTTCTCCATAACTTTTTAATCAGGGGTCAAGATGAAATTATTTCTGTTTTAGATAATATCAAAATGGAAAGCCATCTCAACAGGGAAAATATTAGACGTTTGGAAAATGACAAGACAAAATGTTTTGATATTTTCAGCACCTTGAGTGAACCATCAAAAATCACTGGTTAATGGAATAGGCATTTGCTCTGGAAAACAGGACAAATATGATTCGCACTGCTAAGGGAATGAATTCAGTTGACTTACCTGGTTTTCGAAGATTATTTCAATAAATATCAACAGAATTTCAGTGATGAAGATCACCAGGAGGACCCAGAAGAACTGTGCAGAGAAAGAGAAAGCAGGCCATTAGCATTGCTCTGAGCTATATTGGCTCTGGTAAATTTAAATGGTCACGAGTCATGAAAAAAGGCTGTGTTACTTGTATTGCATTCTCATTTTAGTACACCAGCAGTAACAACTATGTTGCACAATTCCTGGGCAGCTCAGCTGTCAACCAACCAGGAATCTGAAGGCTTTAGGTGCACAGCATGTGAATGAGGGTGGTAGAAATAAAGGAAGATTTGGAAACACAGATGAGAATTGGCATAAAAGCTCTGCTCCCATTCTAGCACCTAAATTGAGCATTTGGATTTAATTATATATCAGTACACAGCAATCCCCAGTAGGAAAATTGAGAGTTCCTGAGCTCTTGATAATCTGGTCATTTAATTTAGGTGAACCTCACTGTAATGAAGACAAAATTCCTTTTCCTTCTAGTAGGGAAGTGGGGGAGTAGCACAGATATACTTCTGTAGCCAAAAAATCTAACTCTACTGGGTGTGTACACACGTACTAATTTTCTGACAGTGAAGCTGACTTAACTTTTTTAAGTTGACTTAACTGTTGGAGCGTACACAAGTATGTGGAACAGAGTCAATTTAAATGCGGCACAAGATAATACACCTCCGAGATATATTATCTTTAGTTGCATTTGCTAAGGTCACTTAGCTCACAAGATGGCTGCCACTAGGGGTGCGAAGCTTCAGGTGCTGATTCGACGTGGAGGAGATTTGGCTCGAATCGGCGGCCAAATCTCCAAATCTGAATCGGATCAGGAGACCAATTAAAAGGTCTGAATTGATTTGAAGTTCTCCAAATCGATTTGGAAAAGATTCAGACAGCTTCAGAAATTCGGGCAATCCCCACTTGCTGCTGCAGGGAGCTGGACCCGGACTCCGTGCTCATAAGTAGGGAGCAGGAGGAGGGGGACTGGAGGAGGCACCAAGGGGGTTCCCTGTCAGGCCCCATCCCCTGCCCGCTCCCCCAGCCCCTCTGAGTGCTCCACAACCTCTGCCTGCTCTCCCAGCTCCCCCCGTGGCTGCCCCACCTCGCGGCTCCTGCGTGGGGGGCTCTGCCATGAGCCCCACAACCCCTGCCCACTCTCCCAGCACCCCCCACATGGCTGCCTTGCTTGCAGCAGCTCCTGGCTCTTAAAAAAAAAAAAAAAACCCCCCCCCCCCTGGCAGCAACCAGTGAGTGGGGGCTTTTTTTTTTTTTTAAAGAGCCGGGAGCTGGGGCAAGGAGAGCGGGTGGGGGATGGGGACTTGTGAAAGATTCAGCCGAATCGATTCGGGACAGTGATTCAAATCACGTAATCGAATCGCTGTCCCCCGAATCGGCTGAATCTGAATCCAAAGTGAATACTAGCTACTTTGCACAGGCCTAGCTGCCACCATGTCAAGGAGCTGTATGTGTGTACGCTCTGATATGGCTTAACTTACGTCAACTTAATTAAGTTGACTTAGTTAAGTCACCTTATTTTAAGTTCACTTAGTACATATGTATGCACCCAGCCCTAGCAAAATTCTGCATGTGGGAATGAGAAAATCAGTGCAGAAAAAGTGAACACGATCTCTCAGGGAAGAGAGAGGTTGCATCCTTACTAAATGACCTCTGTTAGTAAAGACTGATAAATTATACTTAGCACTTTTACAGCATCTTTCACCAGTGGATTCCTGGGTACCACGTTAAATGTTTAGGCTGACATTGCCAAATGCCTATGCCCAGAGTTAGGTTCCCACGTGTGGATTTAAATTCCTGATAGAAACTGTGGGTAGTTAGCTATTATTTGAGACTTTGTGAATTGTTTCTGTTAGGAGGAGAAAATTACAAGGAAACCAACACTGACACTTATGAAAATCCCCAAACAAGGAAACATGAAAAATCAATTAAGCATCAAATAAAGCACAGCACCAAACCAACCCATGAAATGGGTGGTTGACGTGAATAGATCTAATGCCAGGACTCTGATTTTGCCTGTGTCTTAGTACACTTTCCCTGACTTATACCCTACTGTAGTTGGCACAGTTAACTGGAAACAACTGATTTGGAGAACACGCTGGCTACTGAAGATCTAGGGCTTTCCACAGTGTTGATTTAGAAAATGGTATTTAAAGATTTGGTTTTGGGGAATTGGCTTATATGCATCAGAATGGTTTACGATGGGCAGCAGGAGTTAATTGATTTTTAAGAAGCCGGGGTCTCACACAAACAGAGTTTCTCCAGCTTGCAGGGCAGACAGGCTGGCTAACACAACAAGGCCAATAGATACAAAACAGTGTGAGAACTGAGGGAGTATTGCACCATACTGCTCATAATATGAGATAAAGTGGTACCAGCTAACAAGCCCCCAGAGCAGGGGGCCTGAGTCCTGGTTTTGGGGGAGCAGACCAAATTATGAGAAGACCCAGAAGGACCAAATTAGTATATATGTATGGTGGGGCTGTGTGACATTTCACCCAGCGTTTTGTTTAGAAGCTGTTTCGATGCATTTCAAGCTTGAAATAGTGAAATCGAAATGAAACAAAGCCTTTGAAACAGCTTCGAAACAGAACAAGGGAACTCAAACCATTTCAAGCGTTTTGAAATGTTTCAAGTTTCAAAGCCAGGCTTACTAGCTTTAGCTCCTGTCCCAGCCAGCAGCACCCTCCTCCTGTCATCCAGCAGGCAGATCAGGGGCTCGCCCGCACCCCTGGGAGGGCTGCGGGAGCTGTGCCGGAGTCTTCCCGGGGGTGTGGGCCCCCAATCTGCCTGCCAGATAACAGACCGGCGTTGGGCAAAATCTGCACCCAGCGCCGGGAAGATCAGTGCTGCCACTGACCCCAGGCAGCAGCACCTGGCAGGCAGATCAAGGGCATGCACTCCTGGGAGGACTCTGGCACAGCCCCCGCAGGCCTTCTGGGGGTGCCGGCGGGCCCCTGATCTGCCTGCTGGCTGACAGGAGCCGGGTACTGCTGCCTGGGGTCAGCGGCAGCCAGGGCCATCCTTGGGTGGGGGTGAATCGAGGCAAGCGACCCGGGCCCCACACTTTGGGGAGCCCTGCAGAGCCAGATGGAGTGGTCATGGTGACTCTGAGCCACCGGTGGCTTTGCGTCTGGCCGCTCACTACCCCACCCCGCCACCACCAACACTGCCGATGGTGGCAGCAGCAGGTTCTTTGCATCCAGGCCACGCAGAATCAGGGTGGGGGCAGGTCCCCGTACAAACTGATTTGCCCTGGGTCCTGCACCCACTTTGCGATGAGGTTGCGGGGCCCAGGGCAAATCAGCTAGTGCAGGAACCTGCCTCTGCCCTAATCCTGCGCACCCCAGCAGGCAGATTGGGGGCCTGCTGGCACTCCCGGGAGGGCTGCAGGGGCTGTGCCGGAGTCCTCCCAGGGGTGCATCTGCCTGCCGGATGACAGGAGCTGGGTGCTGTTGCCTGGGGCAGCAGCACTGATCTTCCCGGCGCAGGGTGCAGGCTGTGCCCAGCACCGGTCTGTCTTGTGGCAGGCAGATCAGGGGCCTGCACCCCCCAGGAGGAATCCAGCACAGCCCCTGCACCCCTCCCCAGGGTGTGGGCAAGTCCCTGATCTGCTTGCTGGATGAGAGGAGCGGGTGCTGCCACCTGGGACTGGCGGCAGCAGCAATTTTCCTGGCAATGGTCCCAGGTGGCAGCACCTGGCTTCTCTCATCTGGCAGGCAGATTGGGGGCCCGCACCCCTAGGAAGACTCCGGCACATCTCTTGCAGCCCTCCCCAGCATGCAGGCGAGCCCCGCCAATCTGCCTGCCTGCTGCATTGTATGCTTCTCACAATAACCTATGGGCGAAACATTGAAACAGCAAAACAGTTTTGACGAAACAAAACAGAACAGTGCTTTTGAAATGAAACAAAATGAAACTTGAAACGAAACACTGTCCCGTCGAATCATCGAAATGGAAGTCGAATTGGAACGGTGCTGTTTCCCATAGCCCTAGTGCATGGGGCACAACACCAGCCCATCTCATTTACCCCACTGGAGGTGGGGAGGGGGCCTCAGCATCCTCCCTCCAGACTGCTGGCATGCTGACATCTGACACCTAAGAGAGTGCCTCAGAGTCACTCATATCCTGGCCAGATGTATTCTGACTCTGATGACAGCCCTGGGATTTGGTTGATATATAGAACTGCTTGATTGTTTGCATTGCTTCTTTCTGTTATCACTGTGTATCAATAAATTTGCCTATTATCAAATGGAGAGGTCACGGTTAGTTTGGGGGTGTTCCCTCCTGCCCGCTCCGGAACAAGGCCTCTGGGTTCTAAATCCAGAGCCAACACACAGGATCCCCAGATAAAAGATCTCTGGACAAAAACCCAGAAGTTGGTAGGTGGATAGTAAGTGGTAGTGATGGTCTGACCAAAGTGGTCAGAGAGAATCATAGATTCATAGTCACAGAGAAGTAGGGCTGAAAAGGACTTCCAAGAGGTCATCCAGTCTAACCCCCACCTGAGGCAGGATCATCCCTACCCACATCAGCCCATACAATCATAATCTAAACTCTATATAAGACTACCATCAACCCTGATGTAACACAGACCTAACACCCTAACCTGCCACAGGTAAAGCAGGGGAACTATGGCAGACAATGAGAAGAGATAGCTCATATGAGATGTAAGCTATGCATTCACTTTTTCTCTGTAATTAAGCTGAAAGTGCCATATTTAATTTGTCTTAAGAGAAAGGTAAGTCTAGATGTGTTCAGTAAATTGTTTTTCTTAAGTCTATTTTCTCTGATTAATAGACGTGGATGTGTTATGATGAGTCCCGCATGAGTTATTTCATGCAGTTTGCCTTCACTGGGGGGAAAAAAACAAAAAACCCAGAGATCCCTATAGGGGTTGAGACAGAGCGAGGTTCTGGAATCAGCATCCTACTGTCATCATGCGTCAAAAGCACCTGGACAAAGGTGCCCTCTCCTCCAGAAGAGAAAATGCCAGAGAAAGCAAAAGGTAAATACAGAGGAGAGAAGCCCAAAGAACCAGGAGGAGAGGAGAATGGTTGAAAGCACAGCTCACGATATCTAGCCCGTACATTCATGACCGATCTAAGTAACCACAATGCCATGGCGTTATAAAAACTTGTCCTCAATTAGCTTTTAATATGCTCATTATGCCTTTTGCTTTTCTGATGCATTTGATTCAATATAACAACCTATTTTCCTAATGGAGACAGTTTAATGAGAGACTGGTAAAAACAGGTAACTCCTGTAGGATGTCAGCTCTTTCAACCCGGCTGATCAGGTTTTCTTTGTTGGAATGGAGGCATCTAACTGTGTCGTGCTTGTGGCTTCCATCCTCAGCTACCCTCCTTTGCTTTCCCTATTTCTTTTGTGAAGAAAGAAGACCTGACATCACCAGAATGAACAGGAATTTTGCTGTTAAATCCGATCCCAGTGGGACCAGTACCTGCTGTCTGCACTAAACTGCAGTGTCTAATGGCCAGTTACAGTACTTAGATGATTATTGCAAGAATTTATGCTCCTCTGTCCTAACTTGGTGTTTTTCAACAATTTGGGGCTGGCAGCCCGCTTTATCTGAAAACATTGCTCTCCCTCCCCTATATTTCTTAGAGTTAGAAATGTTCTACTGATAATAATGCAGTGCAGGGGAGGAGTGAGATTTGCATTGCTCTAAAATGTATTAAACTATGCAACAACTAGGCACTCACAGCACTGTTTTCCTGACCTGGCTTGGGGTCCTGACCTACCAGGTGGGAGACACCATCCCAATGGGCAGCTGTTTCTTTGCTAGGTTTGGATAAAAGATAACTGCAGAGTTTGTGTGTTTGGATCTAGAATGATATGCTGCAATGAGGAGCAAGAAGTAGGAGCTCACTGTGGAAGGTGGAGCTAAGAAAAGCAGGGTCTTAACTCACATAAGCTGAGAGAGAGCAGTGAAACACCAAATGACATTTCACAGTGCATTGCCCTTCCATAGGACCTCTGCAAGACGAACTCCCCACTTGACTGCAAGCTGTACTCCAGCTGTAAGATTAAGCGCAACTCCCCAGTGAAGGATGAAACTAGAAGGCCCCAAGTCATTCCTGCCATGCCAATCCAGAGAAGCTACTTTGCTGACGAGTTTGGTTGAAGATGGATGTCCCGCCATGATGGTGAGGGACATAGCTAGTTGGTCTGCTCTGCTGAAACAGAAGCCATCTAGTCCTGTGGCTTGTCAATGCCAGGACTGTCTACAGCTCGTGCTTCTGGCACTTAACCACAATAAACAGTACTATTAATATGTGACACTCCTACAGTGCTTTTCGTCCATAGAGCTCACAGCTCTGATCCCAGCTTCATGTAGCTCAGGCCTATTCTTATCAAATCCCACTGACTGATCAAGTCTAACTCCTTGATGAGACTGGAAGGCTGTTCTTTGCACATTTTACAGTGTAGAAGCATACCCAGAGGCTACATCTCTTAATAGTCTCTGATACAATCCACTGGAAATGAAAATCGCCATAGTAACTAACAACCCCATCAGATGCCTTTGAAATACAAAGCAAGTTTATGAAGGCAAGACATTAAATTTGCTTCGGGTTTCATTTCAATGTGCATTTACAAAGCATCTTTCAAGGCAAGTATCCCAGGGACTTTTGTGTAAGGAAACCATTTACCACACTCAATGAGACTGGTCAAGGCGCTTTAAGGAGTATAAAAGCAGTTTCAATAGCACAGTTAGAACAAAAGAACATGCAAGCCTACAGTAACTCCACTGGAAACAGTGGTGATTACTTGGTACCCAATAGCTTTGCTTCATTATCTTAACAATTAATTGTTATAGTTACCACTGTGGAAATATCATCACCTGCATTATACTCTAAATCAGGGCATAGTGAGTCTCATGTAATTCAATCTGGATTTTTTAAATAAAGGAGTACAGTTAACCAAGACTAATGATTGCTACCTTGTCTGCATTCAGCTGTGTTTAGGGCCCTACTGAATTCACGACGGAAATGGGCTGCTCAGTGGCTCCTTTAATCTTGCAGGTTTCCTCATGTGCGACACCCCCCTCTCCCCTCCCGCTAATTGGTGGGGGCCCCCGCTGCTTCTCCTAATCATCGGAGAGATGAAAATCATGGTTTTAAATATAGAACTGTTTTTACCTCTCGGCCGGTCAGCACCAAATAGCAAGGCCACCGGGGCCCCTCAGCTAATCAGCAATGGGGGTGCGCAGGAGAACCTGCAAGATTAAAAGAGCTGCTGAACATCCCACTTCTGCCGTGAATTCAGCAGAGTACTAGCAATGATGTACAGAGAAATAGCCAGATGTGGATATAGACAGGGAAGGCATTGCTGAAATCACCTGCAAGATGACAAAACTGAGTCGTGGGGTAGGAACCTTGAGGCTGCAGAGTCTGCTCAGCAGTGTGTAGAGAAAAGGAGATGGTGTACAGGACCAGAACTGGACTTGTGTTCCCAATCCTTCCCTAGTCCTATTGCATGATGATGTACCTCAGGTCTCCCATCTGTAAAATGGAGATAAAAGGGCCCAGACAACTTTGTAAAGCCCTATAAGCTCTCTGGATGAAAAATATTTTACTGTAAAAAGGTAACTTGTTGGAAACATTGCCAACTTTCTTTTACCATTGTCTCAAATGATCAACATAAAGTATTTTGGCAGCATTTGCCACAAAGGAAAGGTATGAACATATTTTATCCGTGAGTTGAACCATGTATCAAACAGCTCTTAGAAACTGTTCCTTATTTCTGATCCAGCTCAGGTCAAGACTCCAGAATATGCTATACCTGCATCCAGATGAAATGAACACAGATTTTTCTGACCTTTCTTTGATTAAATCATTGGATTCAGTTTCCATTTCATGCACAGCCAAAGGAAAGCAGCTTTTGTGTGCACTCCACTATGTACCAATAGCTAGTAATACTCCTTCACTCTCCTTGTGGTCACATTCAAAGACAGAGCTCACTTTAAAGCAATTTAAAGAGAGAGGCCCACCAACTTGGTTAGGCCTAAGGTGAAGTCTTTCTCCTGGTTAGGGGGAGGGAGAAATATGAGGACAATGTGGCTGCGGGGAAAATTGAAATGAGACCTCTTAGAAAGTAGTGCATCTGTGAGGAAAGGCATTTAATTAACTCTGTAAATTGGAAGACTTAAATTTGTGAGCAAGAAACCCCAAGCAGATAATTAGATGTATAATTTATTTTTTCTTTCCAATGATTTTGCCCTTCATGGAACAAAGACTGTATCCTTTGTCAATTCTAGGGCTTGGTTAATCCTCTCTATGCATATCCTTTGTTGATCCACCTAAATCTCCACGTGTTTACTAGTTACTTTTTCTTAAATCATGATTTCAATCATTAAGCTTCTATTAGAGAATCCAGACTCCTCCATACTTAAGAACAACCTGAGCATGGTAAGATGGAGAAGTCCTTGTTGGTTTCTAAACATATTTGCTTGCTACTTGCTTAAATCTAGGGGCTGTGAGCAGCTCTGTGTCTTGCTGTGTTCTGTTAGAAAAGCTATAAAGGAATTTTTGTCTTCCAAGTACTTCCTAAGTGTTTCCTTTGGCTGCTACGGAACCAATTCCTACCCAATATCAACACAGTTGCACCAGAGAGGAATTTGGCCTGTTATCTTAATGCCCCTTGGCATTTCTGCAGGGGCTTTCTGTTCCTTCTATTCTGCCCTCCCTCTGACACTGGGGGCTCCATCTTTGCTTTCCAACAAGATCAGTACGGTTCTGCTACTGGTGGCCAGAAATTTTGGGACCATTCAGATGTGGCATCCAAAAGTCATCACATTTACACACAAACTGTAAGCATAGGCATCGCTTTTACCACCTTTGATTACAACCACCTTGAAAACAGAACCCAGGAAGACGTATAGCACCAGCAAGTCCAGGAAGTGCAGAATACCATGAAGAATGTTTGTGGCACATATAGCGGAGTGATCGAGCAACAATTTTCCAATGCAGTTAAAATAGCAGGAGTTGCAATGTCTGAGTTAGTTCAGAAAGCCTGCAGTTAGTATGAGCCACATCCACTGTGCTTTTCTTTGTGCAGACTTGAGTCTAACAGAGTGGAGACCGAAAGGCATGCACACAGTGACACTACTCAACTGTTCTGAACCTATCTGGAAACAGGACAAAAGGTAACTAATCATGATGCTAAGATGGAGATGATCAAGAATGACATAAGACAGAGAAAAAGGAGTGGCCAGAACACCAAGTTAATGCTCCTTTCTGTCAAGCGTTGATGTAGTTCAGATGTGAGCAAAGGCTGCTTGTACTACTGAGGGCGAAATGCATCAATCCTGATTGAAGTTTAGAGACTGACAAAATCATCAATTTTGCTCGTTAAATTGATTCGCAATCCTAAAGCAGCACAATCACTCACCCCTACTCATCCTCTTCCTGGCTGCTTTCATCGGGCTGACTAAAAAGCTAACAGCAAAACCTGGAACACTTGAGCTTTTCATCCACACGATATGAATTACCTCAAGTACCACAAAGTGCACTCACAGCACTAGCAGATACCTTATTCTGTGCAGTTGGGTAAGGGGTTGAATATTGCTGTGATGGAAAAAGCATGATGCAGTGCCCAGGACAGGTGTTGGGAGCTACCCAAGTTCTCGGTCATGATCTATCTAGAAAACTCATCATAAAACTACCCCTGAAAGACAGTGCATCTCCGTACTGCAGTCCTACAGGTATCAGTGAGACACCCTTCATCCACTGGTTCTGGGGAGGAGGAGAAAAAGGAGAAAAAGGATCTGTTTCCTCAATTTGTCCCATGTTTTCTCTGTTCTTTGCTGCATCTTGCTTCTTTCTTAGCTGTTCTATTACTGAAATTACTACTTTTCATTAGTGAGGCGGTTGGCTACTATTATATCACTAGGGCAAAATGCAATACCCCATACACTACAGGTTCTTTGGTGTTTACAAGATTGTGTTGTTTCGGTTAGCCAAAAGGAGCCAAATTCATTGCTTTGTCATCAAGAAAAATACCCCAGAGACACAGTGGACTCAATACATCCAGTTCCTTTGAGGACTGAGCCACCTTAAAAAAAAGCAACGTAATTCACCCAACTCTACAGAAGAAAAATAGCCAATAAAAGTTATAGCGACCAATTTATCCTGCTCAGAAGAGGACAGATGAAGTGGAAAAAAGTCCTTCATTTCTTATTAAATTAACACTTACCTGAGCCAGCTGCCTTGAAAAAGTTCATCAATCCCAACATCAGCAATAAATTATATTGTTTAATTTTCTTATATGCTTTGACAAGAGATTAATCACTTCCATTCCTGAGATCAACGCAACTTGAAAATGGTCTATTACCTGCTTCTTACTTCATTTAACAACTCCCCAGCACTATTTTGTTTCATGTTATTAATCTTGCCCATGGCAGAAGTGAGTACGGAAACACGGTTCTCAGGGAGACAGAAACAATACATTATCATAGCTTATGTCCCAACCAGGGGTGCTCCCAACAAGAACCACCTCCTTGCCATTTGGCTTTGATGAGCAAGTAAAAATCTGGATCCAAACCAGCCCTGGTTAGGTTTCCTGAGCCCAGAACTCCTCCCAGTTCAGCACAGCTGGGAGCAATGCCATGTGACACTGATGGAGCCACCTCTGTCTTTATCTCCAACCATTTTGCTTCATTTTGCGATAAGCATGGAGCGAGCACAAAGGACCAACTGCTCAAGTAAGGAAAGGAAGGATTTTATGCCCATCAGTCCCTACTCTATTTATCCCCATTTCCATAATTTTACCAGGTCAAAACTAAATGCTTCTCACCATGATAACTGTTTCGTAGACAGGAAGCCAATGTGTTCCATTTAAGGGTCACCCCCTGAGATCCTTTTCCCTCACACAAACACCTGTATAGCAAATTTCTGTTCTGGGGGTATCACTCCCCCTGCTCCTATGGAGTAAGTTCAGACTTCTAGCCCAGAAAAGTCACCTTCTGAATAAAGCAAGACCCCCTTTTCCCTCCCCGCCCCCCTCCCCCCCGAGATCCTGGACTCCGTCTATTGATTGTAACAAAAAACAGCATGGACACATCCCTCCCTGAGACCATCATAAGACAAAAGCAGGGAAAGGTTTGTTCCCTGGGAGAGAAGGGAAGGTCCCAAGCTTGAAAGGATTCACTTCGACAACTCCTGGCTCATGCACACTTTCCATAATGCATCTAGGTCTTGATCAGCTTCTCCAGGATCCTAAACCCCTTGGCTTTCAAAACGCCAATAGTAAATAGAAAGATTTGCATTGTGTTCAAAGAGATCTACAGCAAGGCCCTTATAAAACAAGCACATGCAAATTGTGCGACCCAATTTCCTGCTTGACACCTGGAAGTGTCCTCATTAAGCACCAGCCCTGGCTCTGGGTGCTTCAGTGTTGGGGACACCGGGCATTAGTCAGAAGGACCATGACACCAGCACTGGCTTTGTTAATCTTGCTAGCAGCCCCCCTGGGTAGGTGTCTGCTGGGATGTGGGGCAGGGGAATGAAGATGCAGAGGGAGAGGGTCCATTAGCTAATTCCCTATTTGTTTTTCCATTAGGTGTTCTGTCCCAGATCACGCTGAAGGAGTCTGGCCCTGGGGTGGTGAAGCCCAGAGAGACCCTCAGCCTGACCTGCACCGTGTCTGGATTCTCTCTCACTAGCTATGGTGTGGGCTGGGTTCGGCAGGCAGGAGGAGAAGGGCTGCAGTGGGTAGGAGTTTTCTGGAGTGGTGGAAGCACTGACTATAACAGTGTTCTCCAAAGCCGCCTCACCATCACCAGAGACACCTCCAGCAGCCAAGTTTACCTGCGCCTGACTGGGGTCCAGCCTGCAGACATGGCCCAGTATTACTGTGCCAAACACACAGTGAATGAAAATGCATGAGAGCCTGCACAAAAACCAGCCCTGCAGGACCGACCTGGCTGTGTGAGCTGGCAGCAGCTGCCAGCCCCGTGCTCTCCCTGCTGGGTCAGACACATCAGGCCTGTTAGATCACTTGAACCAGCCAGGGATGAAATCTAGGGATAGCTCCAAAGTGACCACTAGTATGAGAATTGAACCTAGGTGTCCTGCCCTGGTCTCCATCATGCCCCACTTCTCCATCTGGCCTTCTTGCAGGAATACAAGGGACAGACTCCCCAGCCTGGCACCCAGGACTCAGGCAGCCGCCAGCCTGCCG